ACCAGTTAAGAGGACCTCTTAAACAATTTTGAAATGTCCATGTTCATTACGTCCAATGGTGTGATTCGGGTGTGAGTGGACATGTAGGGCCATGCCTGGGCGGCCTCCACTTTGCCAGGATGCGTGGCAGCTACAGACCTTTCGAACCTACCGACAAGTGCTGACAGGCTTGTTCGGAGTTATTTTCTTCAGTGCTCAGGGACGTTTGCTCGTTTCAGAGCTCAAGCTTCTCAGCAGAAAGGTTCCAAAAAAATTATAGGACCGGATAACCCCACATGTTAACAACTTCAGACACAGGAGCGAACAATTGTTGGTTGGTGGTTGGTGGTGGTTGGTTGGTGGTTGGTGGTTGGTAGTTGGTGGTGGTGGTGGTTGGTGGTTGGTGGTTGGTTGGTGGGAGGAGGACGGGAGGAGGAAGGAGGAGGCCGGGCGGATACAACACTAAAAACAATTACTTTACTTCGAGTGATCCCCACCATGACATTCAATATACAAAGGATCAAATCGAATTCAGCAAAGCACCAACAAATTATCTTGCTTCAAGTAATCCCCGTGTTTCACCTGGCATTCTATCTGGCATATCTTCTTGCATTCTATCTGGCAAACTATCTAGCATACTATCTGCCATTCAATCTGCCATTCTATCTGGCAATCTATCTGACATACTATCTGGCATACTGTCTGGCATACTATCTGGCATTTTGTCTGGCATACCTTCTGGCATTCTATCTGGCATATTTTCTGGCATTCTATCTGGCAATGTATCTAGCAATCTATCTGACACACTATTTGGCATACTATCTGGCATATCTTCTTGCAGCATTCTATCTGGTAATCTACCTGGCATTCTATCTGGCACTTTATCTGGCAAACTATCTGGTTGAGGTCCAGCGGTGCACACTGCGATCGGATCCTTGCAGTTGAGGTCCAGCGGTGCACACTGCGATCGGATCCTTGCGGTTGAGGTTCAGGGATGCACACTGCGATCGGATCCTTGCCGTTGAGGTCCAGGTGTGCACACTGCGAGGGGATCCTTGCGGTTGAGGTCCAGGGGTGCACACTGCGCTCGGATCCTTGCGGTTGAGGGGTGCACACTGCGATCGGATCCTTGCGGTTGAGGTCCAGGGGTGCACACTGCGATCGGATCCTTGCACTTGAGGTCCAGGGGTGCACACTGCTTTTTTGAGCTTGCCAGACAAGATCGGCGAAGCAGATTGGCGAAGCAGATTGGCGAAGAAGATTGGCGATGAAGATTGGCGATGAAGATTGGCGATGAAGATTGGCGAGGAGGTTGGCGAGGAAGGAAGGAAGGAAGGAAGCGGAAGAACAACTGTGATAAAATCTAACAACCCTCACCTGGCAGGTGGGGAAAAACCCCACTCGTCAATGTGGAGAACAAAAGTGCGCAACCACAGGGTGCACGCATGTAAATTCCTTTGGCGGCTGGGAGGGGAGGCGGGTTGGTGCTACTGGGGGCACTTGGCATGAATTTACACACACCTGTGCATCGTTTTTCCTTGCACAGGCTACGCCCCCCGGCCTGATGCTTGACTCAGACCAGGTCTCTTTCCTGGAAGTGTGGCTGCTGTGCTGGGGGTGGTGTCATCCTCTGCTTTTGTTGGCAAACTGTCATATGATGACAATAATTAATTGTTTTTTTTGGAAAGATCTTGGTTCGACTATTTTCCTGAGCATGGTCATTGACCTGACCTGAGCATGGCATTTGTCGAAGGCATCGTATGTTTGTTTTAAGGCAATAACAGCTGCACAACATATGGCCTCCCGCGACTGGCTGCATAGTGCCTCGGTCATATTTGGTTTAAAAAAAAAAATGGAGGAGGGACTCACCACCACAAAAATGCAGATACCTAAGATTATCTAGGTTATTTAGGTTGCAATCCAGACCACCGGGCACCTACGCAGTAAACAGTCTAGACCGTACGAAAGGATGTTTTTTCTCAACAAACGGTAGTTCTGGGGGTCTACGGTCTATGTCAGTTTGCAGTGTCATGTTTAAGAGCTTCAACATGTCTATGAAGGTGAGGTGTCATTGACTGCGTGGTCTTACCACTGAAAAGAGGGACCAAGCAGTGTTTCATAGCATTTCATAACCATTGGTTCCTGAATGTTCTTGGGTGTTCCTGGTTTCATTGACTCATTGGCCCTTTGGGTTAACGATGCCAATCAACCTGAGGATGGACACAATTATCATGCAATGGAAACACCCTCGACAGGAGCCTCGACACCTGTTTGGATGTGATCTTCTAATATTTTTTGAAGCATCCAAAAGGAACTCGACATAACTGTTCGCAGTTGTTTGACCCCAAGGCTAGCCTTGTCATTTGGCCTCCCCAAAGGAGGCTGCCTCCCGTCTTTGTCATCATTCCCCCTTTTTCGGATCGATCGCGCCAGACAGGTGGCTCCAAACGCTGGTGGCTGGACCTGGCAGTGCAAGTGCTGCTCTATGGCACGTTGGATGTGCTCCTGGGACGGCACATCGGCGGACCAACCGCCACACGGGGCTCCGAGAAAGAACCCAGGAAGACGAGCAGGAACACCCCCAGGCTGAAGAAGGATTCCTTTGTAGATATAAAATCATAATTAAAATGAATCATACAACATGAAATGGGTCACATCCAGAAGATCCAAACGCGAAGGTCAAGTTACACTGCTTTGACGCTTTGATAAAGTTTGCCCGAATTGTGACGCCGCCGGTGGGGGAACAGGAGAGATTCTTTTGGGGGGACAAATCCGGATCTTGCGATGCATGTTCTGGTGGCTAAATGTTCTTGATTTTCCTGATTTATTGACCTGCGTTTTGCCCAATGCGTCCACATCCCTTTTGGCGTCACCTGCTCGCTCTGCTCGGCTCGTGACTTTCCGACTCATTGTGGTTAATTGGGATTGGACAAGTGGCCCCAATGCCTGCTGGGCAACTTGCAAGTATTCTTCAGAAACGACCAGTCTCTCACATGGAAGTCTCAAAAACTGGTTTTGATCAGCATCCAAGCACCCTTTCCCATGAGTCATAGCTTTATGCTTTGTGTGTTGGACGTGGACCAATAGCGGTTGGCTCACGCGCCAGATGGATGCCGTCCCACCGTGTCGCTGTTGCCGATCGATGTCGCCCGCCACTGGCACGTAGCAGTTTGGTGCTCCATGTCGATGGGGGCGATGGAAGCAAGCGGTTTGGAGCTCCACCTGCAAGCTGAAACCTACTAGCTTCTTGCTACTAGTAGCAATGGCCTCCAACCTACTAGCTTCTTGCTACTATAGTAGTGTAAGAGCTCCACCTGCAAGGAGAGGAACACACTGTTCCTTTATAGAAGCCACTCTTTTCAATTTAAGTTGAGCGGCTACAAGGAAGTAAGCTGTCCTGGCCGCACTATGTTGCTGTCATGATGCGCTGCATCCCTGATAGGCATGACTTAAGAGGGGGCTGCTGGAGTTCACGCCCAGAGTAACTATACAGGCAAATACACACAAGGTAGATGGTAGATGAAAATGGCCCAAGAACTCTGGAGGAAGAGTGTTCTCATCCAAAAACGGTCTACGCACTTGCGGAAAACCTTGTCTTTGCACTGTGAGTAGCTTGCTGTAGATCTAGTTCGGCAACAGTTACAGTATCTCAGCGAGAGCGGTGGTCTTCGAGCCCCCCAAAAAAACAATGCAAGTAGGCTTTTGACTGGGAACGAGACGATGCAAAATGGAGATATACAAATATTTTGTTTTTGTGGCCGCGTAGCTTCTCGTGATTTCTCCTGCCTCCATGGGTGAGAGTGGCCTGCCCATGCATGTATCACACCAAGGATCCCGTTGGTTCTTTGCATCGCGCCACTCACCAAGCTAGATTTGAGCACTGCATTAAGCACCCTCTTTGCCTCAGCTTGCTCCATTGCTGTCTTCCACTGCATTTTGCTGTGACGTAGCTGCAAGGAAGGCGTTTTTCTACCGCACTCCAAAAGGGTCGTTGGGGTCGTTGGGCCTCGCGCAAGCCGGCGCCGTCGTTTCAGGTATGGAGCATGGATTGTGAGCGATATAGTGGCCAAATTCTATTCCTGGAAATCGATCCGCAGACCCGCAGATGTGCCTCATGAGGACACCGATCCGCCGACCTCGTCAATTCACAGCGCTTCAGGGTGTGTGTCTCGTGCGGAACTAACGTGTTCCTTGTTGCGCTCGGGATGTGGTGTCGGCGTTCGCAAACCTGCCAGGTTCAAGTAGATGAAGTGGATGTAGAGCAGACTGCTGACGCAGACGCCCCGGGCGAAGCTGCAGACGCCGCGGACGCGGACGAAGATGAGCACACCGAGGACAGGACCTGGGAAGAAACCGATCAAACGATGGCTGATTAGTGGTCGAATACCCAAGACCGCTGACTCAGATGAAATCCGAGGCAATAGTGTTGTTGTTCAATAGACCTGGCATTTTGGGAGCATCAACCATATATTGATGTGGTCAACGTGGTTGAAGCGGCATGGCAACAAGTTTCCTGACTGACGTCCCTTGAACTGGATGTTCTTTGTCATGTCTTTGGAAATGAGGCATTATAGCAGGGATGGACGCTACTAGGGGCTCCTGGCCGTACTACTAGTAGCAAGAAGCTACTAGGGGCT